CCAATTAAGGCCTTTGTTTTATTTTGAAGAATTCAATGCCTTTTAAGACTTTTTAAGGACCCGCAGGAACCCTGTCCATCAGAACGACGGATCATGTTTGCTCAGATTTTAAACGTCTGAAATGATTCTAATAATCCGGATCTGTGCTGCATTCCAGAACCTCTAATGCTGCTTGTTTTCAGTGAGCTGTGTTCGTCACATGGTCCCTCAGAACCTCCTCCTACCCAGCAGGAGCGGGTAGTCCTCAGCCTCCAGCCACGGCGTGCAGATCGTCACGTGCTCCAGACTCATGGCGGCGATGAGCTTCTGGTAGTGCTCCTTCTGAGGACCCTTCCCTGCACAAACACACCATCAGCGTGGAGCAGAAGCTGAAGGTCTAAAAGGACCCGCCTCCCGCAGCTCTACCTGTGATGACGCAGACTAAAGCCGGCAGCGGCGCTCCTCCTCTGATGAAGCCTTCGTAGTCTGAAACAAAGCGGCCGATCAGAGGGAGTGAAAGAATAAGCAGCTGTGGATGAGGAACATCTGGTACCTTCCAGAGCCTTCAGCAGGATGGAGAAATCTTCATCCTCTGCAGAGAGAAACCATCAAACCGTCAGGATGCTTCCAGTTAAACATCCACACTTCGTCACACATCAGCGGCTTATTCACCCGTCCAGCTGGTGCTGCTGACCAGCAGCGCCGGTCGCTCCGACCGGAGAGCCACGCCGCCGTCGCCAGGGTTATAGACGGTGAACGCGGTGGAGTCAGAGAGGGACCTGAGGGCGGATCGGGGAGCTTCAGGGTCTGAAACATCGATTTATCGAGTTCTTCATCGGGACTCACCCCGAGGCGCCGAACTGCGGGTGAGAACGGGCCAGCCTGGCGAAGAGGCGGTGCTTCAGATCCAGAGGAGTCTCCCTGAAGATGGCGGCCGGTCGGTCATACACAGTGGTCGCCCTGCAAACAACACAGCGGCTCAGCTTTATGTCAAAATGAACAATAAGAGGCTGAGGATCTGCCAGGTTTGGCCTACGGTAATTTATCGACCGTCTATAAATCAGTTTTCAAGTTTAAACATCGTTTACAATCAGCCATAGAAATATATGACAGAGAAATTTTATTTTTAGTGAAATACATCAATGTGAAACAACACCTATGGAGTGAATTTTGTGCCATTATTGTTGCAAAGAACACATTTTGTGTTTTGAAATAAAAAACAAATAAAATTCAGAAATAAAATCAAGAAAAGGTTTGGAGGAAAAACACCATGAATTTTTCATATTTCATTATTTTTAATTTTATGTTTCCAAAGAAAACAATTGCAGATTTTTTTTCATTTTCAAATTTTATTGCAGGTGAAGATTCTCCGTCATCCAGGTAATTCCAAAAAAAAAGGAAAAAAAAAAATCAATCCACTGGACTTTGTTTTCCAGGTTTGAAGATGTTTCTCTTCCTATCCAGGGAGCTTTTTTGATTCAAAATGTCAGAAACGGCGTAGAATTCTTTATAGAATAGACCAACAAAGCCTTTTTTTTGGCTTGGAAAACATGCAAATTAAACAGGCCTTTACTAATGAGGGTCGTTCAAGTCTTTGTTAATCCTGGATTATGCTCAGAAACCAGGTCATCTGCGTGTCGCAGTGAACGCAAATATAATAGGTGACCACTGACTGGAGGCCTCTGATTGGTCAGATCTACATCCACTCTACTCTATGCGTATTTCCTGTTTGGTTCCTCACCGGTTTGTTTTGTTTGTCTGACCGCCATTGTGGAAAACGACGGGTGAAGATGGACCGGCTAGAAGAGCGAGGTGCGTGGGAACGCTGGGACCCTTTTTAAATGATTTGACATTTAAATATGATTTCCCTACGACTTTGATTTCTGCATTTTTTTAATACAATAATGGAACGAAACTCCCTCCATAGACGGGCTCCTCTAGAAAGGCTAAAATCCTCCTAAAGGTTTTTACAGAAAGCTGGGAGTCCGGATGTTCTGCAAAGGCTGCAGAACATCAGGATGCTTCCCTTTGTGTCGACAGACGTTATAAATGGCCGACAAAGTGTGAACACTGGGAGGCCGCTGTTCTGTCAGACCAGCATACCCTGTCAGACCAGCATACCCATAGCCAATACC